CACACACACACACACACACACACACACACACACACACACACACACACACACACACACACACACGTATAACTCTCAGTCCATGTGCCTTCAGTTCATGTGCAGGGAAGCAGCACAGAGCCACGTGAGCGGACCATCTCATTTCACTTTGCTTGCTCATCCCTCCACTCTGCACACACGCACTTTTCTTACCATCCGCCTATCGGGCAAACTGGAAGAATCTGAACAGACCATGCTGACAGGCTGACAGAATATCTGCTCATCTCAGAGTTAAACATGAACTATGAAAAAAGAGCAAAAGTGCTTTTTGGAGTGGCCACAGCAGAAAAAAAAGACTGACTTTCAGAACAACAGGATGACCTTCAAATGAACGGAACAGCATCTAAAATGTCAAACTGTTTCACACAGTCAGGCATCAGGTAATGAAGCTCAGCTTTTCTTTTTTAGAAGCAAAATCGTCTGCAAAGTCAGTGAACTTGAATCTTAAACTTGAGGAAAAAGCATCCATCCAACTGCACCTCTTTATATCTGCARGCACACGCACTTGTTAAAAAACATTCAAAAATAATAAAAAGATAAACAGCAATTAGAAGCATTTTGGAGAAAATGRTGCACTCTAAAATAATCAGCTAAGAAAGCATCTGCAACATGAGAAAAGTGACAAAATGCAAACTGCAACAAGCGGATGTGTTAACATGATAACAAAACCAAACTTGTGATTTTCATAAAAGCACAATAAATCAACAGCTTTACACTTTAAAATATTACTGATCTGTAAAAATAAGAAATGAGAAAGAAAGGTTGTTATGGGTAACTTGGATTGTTGTCACCTAGAGAGAAGAGAAGRGCTGTAAGAAAGTCAAAATCGTGTCTGAAAGGTCCGGAAAAGTCAAACCCCATCAAAAACTGAACAATAAAAAACAACAAACAAAAGACTGAAAAGTAGTAGGATTAGTGCTCGACACGTAGCCCAGATCAAAACAGATAAGTGGACAACAAGAGAGAAGACAGATGTGAAGATAAAGAACATAAAGTTTGGTTTCTGTACAGTTGCAGGTCCTTACCTGTTTGGCTGAGCTGAGAGGTGCTCCGACTCTTGCGCGACATGCCGACCATGGCCTGCATTTTGGCACCGATGCTGGAGCGCCTCTTCTTGTCGTCAGTGCCTACCGTGCCAACCGCTGTGTCTGACTGACTGCCGTCCGTCTTCTCCAGGTTGCACATGTCGCCGCTGACGCTCGTGCTCTTGGTCATGTTCACGCCACCGGACGAGCCCATCTGCCTGTTTTTCATTTTGGATGCAAAGTCACTGTCAGCCACCACCATTGACAGGGGGCAGACAAAGACAGGAGAGAGGGGAGGACAGGGTAGAGGAGAAACGAGGACAGAGGAGATGGAGGGAGAGGAAAAGGTGAAGGAGAAGTGTAAAAGGACAAAAGGATGATGAGAAAGTCAGGAAGTGATGAAGGTGTGGGGTGGAAAGGAGAGAAGGAAAGAGTTCAGGTGTTGAAGTTCATGACATACAGTATAGKCGGCTTTAGGATTTTAGGAAATCTCCATACTTTTATGACTACATGCAAAAACAATCAGCTTTTACTTAATGCTAATTTTTTAAAACAGGATTTAAAGCTTTTTATTACATTTTAACATTCTCATTGTAAACCTATTTATATGTGTTTACTATACATAAAACACTGATATTGTTTTTATATCTGCTTTGCTGCATTGTGTTCAGTTTCAGTTCTGCAAAGCTGCTTGTTTCATCAGCTTAGTTCTCTTCCCATTTAAAACAATGTAGGCCAGCGCCCAAAWGAAGGCCTCGTTTTAGCTCTGCCAGTAAAATGATCTTTAAGACACAAATTACATTCCCCACCATGAGCTCTTAATAGGATGAGATCCGTGAAGCTCCCTCAGGCTACTGTTCATTAATTTATTACTGACCTCCATCACGAACCGCAGTATAATAGCAATTTATAAAGAGGTTGTACACGTTGGTTTTACACGCTGTTAAAACCATGAGAGGTGATTACATCAGTTAGACTCTTCACGCTGATGTTCGATGCAATAAACAATGAAGCTCACTGTAGTGGAATTAGGCATCTGATTTTAAATAAAAAGGATTTTAGCTTCATGACGTGATTGGCTGATCTGCATAAAAATCATATTTATTCGTGTTTAATACCTGGAGAGCCAGAGGGCATGATCTTCCATAAGACTACACGTTTTAATTTTGTTTCATGCTGCTGGTGAAGTACGTTGCATATGGCCTAATGCACTCTGCAGTATTATGTTTTTTGTTTACAGCACTTCCAGTCCAGTTCTGTTTGGCATGGTTCAGCTTGTGCTCAAATACATAAATACTGACCGCTTGAAATGATTGAATGGCACCTCCTCTCTTTTCAGTACCACTAGACTTAGAACAGGTCTTGGCACTGAGTCCAAGCATTCTGTGCAAAAATGCCTGCTTTGAAAACTGGGACTTGTTCAGCCTCAGCCCAAAGAACACAGTGTGCCTCATCATGCAGATTGCTCTCTATGCATTTTCATCTAGGCCAAGATGTTCCCAGGGCAAACAAAGCATGGCAATAGAATTTCTTACAAAAAAAGTGTTGACAGAGTTGGTTGCATATAAAATGAGTGTCTTGCAACATAAACTCAGCAACCAAAAGATTTGTTTGTTCCAGTAGGTGACAAGGCAAGGAAAAGTCAAGTCTTGTGCTCAAGTTAAAACCAATCAATAAGATTGTGACCCACTCTTTGATTGAGCATTCAGTTACATGATTGGTTTTGAAATGTCCTTTACTTTAACTTTTTAAAGAATTAGACAGAGACAGATATGCTGATTTGACAGATTGATGATAATTACTATGAATAAATGCAAAATTCATGCAAAATGCATTCTGTCCTCCTATAATAGATTTTTTTTGACAGAACCCCCTTTATGCCAAAAATGACTTGTCTATTTTGGGTTGCTAAAAAGGTTACCATGGTAACTATGCCTCATGTACCAACTAGTATAGGAATATGTCTAGGTCTGTTAACACAATGACAGACTGAAAATAAAGTGAGCAGATCTGAATGASACCACATTCATGTTTGACTTTGAGCAGGAGGGGACACTGGGGTAAGATGAGCCATTTTTCATTTTTAGGAGCACTGCATCAATACAATCCTAGTTTTAATGCTAATTTATATGTCAGTATACTATTTAGGATGATGTGCAACCATTCAAATAAACAGAACGAGAGTTAATAACTGTTTCGATAATATAGCATGTCAACTTACCCCAAGTTTTGGCTAAGTTGTGTTGACTTTATTAGTCCCCACAACTAAAATGGTGCATTTTTATGCTAGATTTATAGCCTCATGTTGTAGCTTATACAACAATGGATGTATAAAACAAATTTAATATTATCTGTTTGGGTCTAAACACGAAATGAAATGACTTTCAAGAGTAAAAAAAAGGTTTTTTTTATTAATAAATGTCTAACCACTTTATTNATGTGGGCCTACCTTCACAGACTCTATGAAATGATGCTTTCCTCTTTAATTTTTGGTCACATATTCTAAGTTTTTTTAATATTTCCAAGAAACAAGGAGTGGCTCAACTTACCCTAGTCTGCCCTACAGTATTCAGGACTCTTTAGTGTAATTGTGCATTCTTCTAAATTGCAGTGGTGATCACCTGTGACTAATTTTACCATTTTGTATGCACCTGACCCTGACATCTGTACAGCTTGGAATAAATACATGTACTGTTACATTACTTGTTTATACTCTGTATATGTTTAGCATACTGGGCTGACAGAAATGATCACACTTTTTTGTGAAAAAGTTTGTCAAGCACTCAAAAGGAACAAACAGTATTTATAATATGTTGCTACGTTTGGTGGTGAAGTGGTTAGATTGGTCGCTTCACAGCAAAGGGGTAACAAATTCGTCTCCTGCCTGAGACCTTTCTGTGTGGGTTTACTGTTCTCCTCATGCATTGACTGGATTTCCTCTAGATACTCCGGTTTTCTCCCACAAACCAAGAACATATATGTTAAGTTAGGTTAACTAGGTTAACTCTAAATTGTCCCCAGATGTAGGTTAAAAAAGAATAGTTGTCTTTTTGTGGTCCTGGGATGGACTCATGAAAAGCSCCCCCACAACTCTGATTGAAAAGGTGGGTATAGAAAATAGATAAATGTATCGCTGCCTTTAGCTTACAATGTAGTGTCCAAAGGTTAAGCTCCTTTTATACACATAAAGTAGCACAAAGGACTTAAATCTCAAATTCAACACCTAATGTCAAGTTAAAAGTTGATTTTATTTTGAAGGTTAATTTAATACCTTGCTTGTCTTTAAAGTGTAATTACAGTTGCTGCGTTTCAAGAGAAAAACAAAGACGTTACTAAACAGTGGCACTAAAGAAAACTGGGACAACATTTTCTTAAAGTCAACCTTTAGTGTGCTCAACTATTTTTTAAAGCTGCTCTTTCCTGCAGAGGTCGCCTCAGCAAGCAAATTTGCAGAAAATATTTTACTTTTTTTTTTTTTTTTTTACGTCCGCTGCCCATCCAGGCACCATCTGGGCTCAAACCCTCAGCCTCAGAATTACAAGACCACTACACTGACCACCGAACTACCGCAGCTCCTTCTGTGTGCTCAATGCTTTTTCTAATTTCATTTTGTACACTGTAAAAAACTTGGAATGCCACCTGATGACAACAACACTCATTAATGCAATGTTAATTACAGTCAAAAACAAATAAATACAAAGGCAGAACAGACAGAAATATCTCTGTAGGCTAATTTATGTGTATATTTTGTCTGATTAGATATTGTAAAACCCTGTTGCAGTCCTCATTAATCTGTGAAATAAACAAATAAATATGGAATAATTGATTCCATTTCACTTAATCAGTTGTTGATTTGATGAACTGCATCCCTCACTTAGAATTTATTAACCCTTTATGTAACCAGGCAAATCCAAGACCACAGATGTCTTTTTCAAAGGTGGCTTGGAGGCAGTCTAACATGCATGTTTTTAGACTGTGGGAGGAAACCAGAGGACTCGGAGAAAACCCCATGCAAACATGAAGAGAACACATAAAATCCACAAAGAAAGAGCCCAGGTCCAAACCGGGGCTTGAACCCAGAACCTTCTTGCTGGGAGTCGCAGGGTAATGCACTATGGTAAAGTTGTATAAACCTGAATAAAAACATGAATTGTAAAATGTGAAATTTTTTTCTTGTTTTTTTTCCCTCTAAAAGAAAATTGCAATAATACATAGGCAGGTAAAGTTTGATTTTATACTGTTGTCARGAAGGAATAACACACATAGGAATCTGTAGGGTCAAAGCAGGACTGGATAAGGTCAAATTAGAACATGTTTGAAAATGCAAAGGGTAAAGGTTTCAATGTTTTCTTAGCATACATACATACATACATACATACACACATACATACATACATACATACATACATACATACATACATACATACATACAT